CTGAGTTTCTTACTGCACCTGCTTCTGCCCATCAGGCCTCTCCTTGGATGTCCCAAAGAATTGAGAGTCTAGAATTACATGTCACCCCATCATCAAAATCTACTCCCCCTCCTTTATGTTCCTGCCCAGTGAAATAGACCAGAAACTTGAGGATTAGCTTTTTTGGAGGTGGGCATGGCAGAGGGGCTGACAGATGAGCAGATACATGCACTGCCTGAAAAAAAAAGCTGAATAAATGCTTCAAAGGCAGAGTGGTGGTGACAGAGGAAAGAAATCAGTGAACTGGAAGATAGAACACCAGAAATTACCCAATCTGGACAATGGAGAGGAAATAGACCAGGAAAAAATGAACAGGTAGTCAGTGACCTAAGGGAATGTAATGAAAGGTCTAACATTCATATCATCAGAGTCCCAAATAGAGAGGAGAAAAGAAGGTGGTGCTGAAAAAGTACTTGAAGAAATAATGGCCCACAATGTCCTAGATTTGGCAAGAGACATAAAGCTACTAATCCAAGAAGCTGAACAAACCTCAGGTGGTATAAACTCAAAGAAATCCATGCTAAGACACATCACCAGACTTCTGAGACTGAAGTCAGAAAAATCTCGAAAGCAGTGAGAGAAAAATAACACGTTGCCTATAAGAAACAATTTGAACAACAGTGGATATCTCATCAGATACCTTGAGGCCAGAAAGAAGTAGTGAAACATGTTTCAAGTGCTGAAAGAAAAGAAATGTTAGCCAGAATCCTACATCCAGCAAAAATATCCTTCAGAAATGAAGGGGAAATAGACATTCTCAAATGAAGGGAAGTTAAGAGAATTTTTTTCTAGCAGACCTATCATCAAAAAATGGCTAAAGAAAGTTCTCTAAATAGGAAGTTATAAAAGGAACCTTGGAATACCAGGAAGGGAAAAAAAACCCCAGCAAAAACATGACTAAATAAAATAGGCTTTACTTTCCTTTTGAGTTTGCTAAACTATATCTGATGGTCAAAGCAAAAGTTATAACACAGCCTGAGGTGGTTCTCAATTGATGTAGAGGAAATATTTAAGACAATTACAGGATAAGTGAGAGAGAGAGTGAGGAACATAAGGAAATGTTAGGTTTCTATATTTCACTGGAACTGGTAAAAATGATATCAGTTAGCTGTGTACATGTGTACATATGTGCATGTGTATATATAATATAACACATATGTATAATACCTAGAATAACCACTAAAAAGCTATATATAAGAGATACACTCAAAACACAGTATAGGTAAATAAAAATGGAATTATAAAAAGATCCTGTTCAGGTAATCCAAAGGAAGGCAAGAAAAAGAAAACATAAAAAGGAAAAATAGAGACAACAGGAAAAAAATAAAATGGTGGACTTAAACCCTAACTTATCATTATAATAAATGTAAATGGTCTAAATATACCAATTAAAAGACAGAGATTGGCAGAATGAATTTTTTTTAAATGACCTAACTGTATGTTGTCTACAAGAATCTCACTTCAAACATAATGACAGTCTACACACAAAGTCCCAAGGAAGCTACAAAAACAAACAAGAACAATGAAAAACACCCTTCTATATCTAATAAGTGAGTTCAGCAAGGTCAAAGGATAGAAGATCTACATACAGAAATCAATTGTGTTTCCATGCAGTGGAAGTGATTACATGGAAACAAAAATAACATACCATTTATAATTACCTGAAAAAAGAAAGATGTAAATCTGACAAAACATGTACAAAATTTGTATGCTGAGAACTATACAGCACTGATGAGAGAAATCAAAGAAGATCTAAATAAATGGAGTGACATACCATGTTCATGGATTAGAAGAATTGACATAGGAAGAATAATCAGCAAATTGGTACACATGTTTAATAGAATTCCTATCAATATCTTAGCAAGGTTTTTAACATATATACATATGTATATATATATATGGACAAAATTATTCTAAAATGTATATTAAACAGTGAAGGAACTAGAATAGCTAAAAAAAATTATAAAAGTAAGCATCAAACAGGAGGAGCCAGCTTGATTTATTGGATAGCTACAGTAATCAAGACTGTGAGGTACTAGTGAAGAAATGGATGAATAGATCAATGGAACAGGATAGAAAATCCAGAAATAGATCTAACAAGTTTGACAAACTGAATTTTGACAAGGATGAGAAAACAATTCAATGAAAGGGGAAGCCTTTTCAGCAAACTGTGCTGGAACAATTGTATATCCACAGACAAACAAAATGATCCCTGAGCTACGTCTCACACTTAAACAAAAGTTAACTCAGACTAGATTACAGACTGAAATGTAAAATATAAAGAGAAAAAGATAGGAGAAAATCTTCAGATGTAGTACTAGGAAAAGAGTTCTTAGACTTGGCACTAAAAGCAAACCCTATAAAAGGAAATACTGATAAACTGTATTGCATCAAAATTAAAAATTTTTGCTTTGCAAAAGACCACATTAACAGGATAAAAAGACAATCTACAAATAGAAAATATTTGTAAATCACATATTCAATGAAGGATTAGTATCTAAAATCTAAAAAGAGTCAGGACTTAACAGTAAAAATAAAAACTAAAAAAAACTGAAAAACCAATCCAATTAAAAAATGGTCAAAAATCATGAAGAGACATTTCTATAAGTTTGATATACAGATGGCAAATAAGTACGTAGAAGATATTCAGCAACATTAGCTATTAGGCAGATGCAGATAAAAACCACAATGAGACACCACTAAATATCTAACAGAATATCTCTCATACATTTCTGTGGGAACATAAAATGGCATGACCACTTTGAAATAGATTTTGTCAGTCTCTTAAAAAGCTAAGCATGCCCAGCAATTGCACACCTGGGCATTTATCCCAGGGAAATGAAGACTTAGGTTCACACAAAAACCTGTTCATGAACGTTCATGGCAGTTTTAGTCATAGTAGCCCAAAACTGAAAACAACCAGACGTCCTTCACCTGATGAAAATTGTTGAACAAACCATGTGGTGCATCTGGACCATAGAATACAACACTTTAGCTTGGAAATGCTGAAAGAAAAACGTGAATCCTAAAAGGTTACACACTGCAATTCAATTAATAAAACTTTTTCCCTGTTTTTATCTTAATTTTTTTTTAACTTTTTGTTTTTTAAATTTTGGTGGGGGTAATTAGGTTATTTATTTATATTTTGGCTATTTATATATATATTGGGCAGTATTGGGTATTAAACTCGACCTCATGTTGTACCTGCTAAGCATGCACTCCACCAGTGAGCTATACCCCACCCCCTCAAAACTTAATCTTGAAATAACAAAACTTTAGAACTGGAGACCATCTTAGTGGTTGCCAGGAGTTCTGGGGGATGGAGGTGTGGCTATAGGAGGGCGACATGAGGGATCTCTGTGGGGGTGGCCTGGCCTGTGGCCTGACTCAGCATTCGTATCCCAGTTATGAAACTGCTCTACAATTTTGCAAGATGTTACCATTGTGGTAAAGGGTACACAGCGTCCCTCTGTATTATTTTTGAGTTGAATCTACATTGATATAATTGAATAATAAAATATAATGAGGTCTACAATTTTCTCAAAATAAAAATTTTTTAAAAGGCCAGATCCAGAAGAGCACAGTCCCAGTCTCTTAATGTCAGATTCTCAACCCGCCGACCACTCACCATTTAGGTTGTAACCAAACCAGGAGAAGCTCTCCAAGCTCTTAGCCACCATTCCCATTGGGGTTCCGCTGACAGCACCAGTGAACTCTGTCTTCAGAGCTTTCATGTTGTGTTTAAAATCATGAAATGTTGGAGCTGGGGAAATTTGAAACAACTGCTGGGTTAAAATGGGCTTAACGGGCTTTGGATCTCCTACACGTCCGTCCGACCCCAGCAGACGCCTCCTTAAATAAATTCCAGTTCAGGTAAGTGCGGTGTGCCAGCCCTGCTCTTGCTCTGAGATGCTGTCCCTATAGACTTGCCATTCCCCACCCGTCTCTATTGGAGCCCTCACGCACACCCAAGCTGCTTCTCAAAGGCTGTTTCATTTCTTAAGTTAGAGTGTAGGCCCGAAGCAGCCTGGGCCTCCCTGCGCACAGTGGGACCCTGAGATGGCAGTCTCTGGAGGACAGTGGCTCTTCTCAACACTACTGTGATGTACAGTTGTTTGTGAAAGAAGGAAGGACGCAAAGGCCTTTGGAGGTCACTGTGGGCAGGGCACATCTGTCAGAGCCGTCAGGACGGAGGTGCTGTCACTGCTGGCCTGCAGGTGACCGGGCAAATGGGAGTGCTGGTCCCTGTGCCCCCACGAGCCACACTGCCGGCTGTACCTGGTGGTGTGCAGACCCTCCCTGGCCTGTGTATGTGACCCAGAGACTTTGTCTGGGGGTCCAGGGAGGTTTTCTGGGGATGGGGGTAGACAGACAAGGCCTGCATTTGTCTGTCTCTGTCCTGCCTCCTGGGGACTGTGTGCACCCTGACCCCAGCTTTTTATGTGTGTGTTTGTATGTGTGCCCTTGTGTGAGCGTCGTGTGTGTCTTTGTACCTGCATGTGGTGTATGTGTCTGAGTGCCTCTCTTGGTTCCTTTTTATGTGTGCTATACTGGTTTGTGTCTCTACATGTTGTGTCTGTACTGAGTGTGTGTGTGTGTCCCTGCATGTGTGTGCGCGCGTGGTGTGTGCGCGCGTGGGTGTGGCGTGTCCTCCCGCCTCGGAGGCTCCCTGAAGCCGGCTCCGTTCGGGGCGTGACAGTCCCCAGGCGGCCACCCTGGGGCGCGGCCGGCGGGGAGGAGCGC